AAGGCATAACAATTGTAAATATTTATGCCTCAAACAATGAAGGATCCATGTACATTGAACAAATGCTTCTTAGTTTGAAGAATCCAATAGACCACAACACAATAATAATGGACAATTTTAACATGTCTCTGTCACCCCTGAATAGATGCTCCAGACAAAAACTAAATAAAAAGCTATAGAACTAAAAAATGCAATTGATAATTTAGACTTTATGAACATTTATAGAATGTTTCATCCATCAATGAGTAAATACACTTTCTTCTCAGCAGCACACAGATCCTTCTCTAATATAGAGAAGCTATCACATGTTGACATGTATGGTAATATTACCTTAATATATGTTTAGCATCTGTAGGGTTATTTTGATAGCTCCTTTTCTATTGATATTAGTTTTTTTTTGTTCTTGCTTTTTCTCTCAGTAGACTTAATTTTTATCAACTTTTAGTCACATTATTCTTTTCTATTTTATATATTTCCGCTTCCACTCTTATTTTTTCTTTTCTACTTCCTAATTTGAAAATAATTTGATTGTTAATCTAGTTTCTTCTGAAACAAGTATTTTAAGCATAAATGTTCATCTGAGTATGTCCCATCCGGCAGGACACATCAACGTGGGCAGTGAACCTAGATGGGGAGGAATGAAGGGACAAGAGACACAGAAGGATGACAGCAAGACAAAAGTTCTGATCAAGCTGCAAACTTTTATTGTTCACACAGGGGTATTTATATGCTGGGGATGGGGAAGCTCTCTTATCGGCAGTTGCTGGATGTCTGCACAAGGTGAGATAACCGCAGGATGTTTCAGGAAGATAGGTTTCAGGAAGATAGGTGGCCGCAGGATGTCTCAGGGAGATAGATGGCTGCAGGGTGTCTCCCAGGCAGGATGTCTCCCAGGGGGCTGTTTCTTGTAAGTGTCAGGCTATTCTTTGAAGGAGAATTTCCTTCTAGTCCCTGACATGAGTACTGTTTCATCCCAGAGATTCTGACATTTTAATCTTTTATTATCGCTCAGTTCAAACACTTTTTATTTACTTTTCTTGTGGTTTTCTTCCTTGACCTGTGAGATATTTAGACATGTAGGAGTGGGTTCTATGTATCCTAAGGTAATTGATTTCTTTTTATTCTTTATTTTTTCTAATTAGTTATACATGACAGCAGAATGCATTTCAATTCATTGTACACAAATGGAAGAAAACTTTTCATTTCTCTAGCTGTACACACTGCAGAGTCACACTGTTCATGCAATCATATATGTACATAGGGTAATAATGTCGACCTCATTTTACCATCCCTCTCACCCACACACCCTCCACTCTCCTCATTCTGCTCTGCCCAATCCAAAGTTCCTCCATTCTTCCTTCTATAGCTACAACCCCCCCATTATGGATCAGCATCTGCATATAAGAGAAAACATTTGACCTTCAATTTGGGGGGATTGGCTTATTACTTATCATATTCTCCAACTCCATCCATGACCTCAAATGTCACAATTTTATTCTTCTTTAAGGTTGAGTAATGGACCATTGTGTATATATATACCATATTTTCTTTATCCATTCATCGGTTGAAGGGATTCTATGTTGGTTCCGTAGTTTAGCTGCTGTGAATTGAGCTGCTATGAATATTGATGTAGCTGTGTCACTATAGTATGCTGATTTTAAGTCCTTAGGGTATAAATTGAGGAGTGGGACAGATGGGTCAAATGGTGGTTCCATTCTAAGTTTTCTGAGAAATTTCCATACTGCTTTTCGAAGTGAGTGCACCATTTATTATCTAATCCCACCAGCAATGTATGAGTGTACCCTTTTCCCTACATCCTCACCAACGCTTACTATTGCTTGATAATTGCCATTCTGACTGGAGTGAGATGAAATCTTAGTTTTGATTTTCATTTCTCTAATTGCTAGAGATAATGAACTTTTCCATATATTTGTTGATTGATTGCATTTCTTCTTCTGTGAAGTATGTATTCAGTTCCATGTCCCATTTATTATTTGATTTTTGTTTGTTTGATTGTTTGTTTTGGTGTTAAGATGTTTTAGTTCTTTATATGTCCTGGAGATTAATGCTGTATCTGATGTGCATGTGGTAAAGATTTTTTCCCATTCTGTAAGCTCTCTCTTCATGTTATTCATTCCTTTACTGAGAAGCTTTTTAGTTTGAATCTATCCATTCATTGATTTTTTATTTTATTTCTTGTACTTTAGGAGTCTTGTTAAGGGAGTCAGGTCCTAAGCCAATATGATGATTTGGGCATACTTTTGCTTCTATTAAGCACAGGATTTCTTGTCTAATTTCTAGGTCCTTTATTCACTTTGAGTTGAGTTTTGTGCAGGATAACACTCAGGAGTTTAATTTAATTTTGCTACATATAAATTTTAAGTTTTCCCAGAACCATTTGTTGAAGAGGCTATATTTACTCTAATGTATATTTTTGGTGCCTTTTTCTATATGAGATAAATATTTGTGTAGGTTTGTCTCTGTGTCTTTTATTGGTCTACAAGTCTAATTTGGTGCCAATGCCATGCTTTTTTTTTTTTTTTACTATAGTTCTGTAGTATAGTTTAAGGTACGGTATTGTGATCTCTCCTGCTTCACTTTTGTTGCTAAGGATTTCTTTGACTATTCTAGGTCTCTTATTTTTCCAAATGAATTTCATGATTGCTTTTTTATTTCTATGAAGAATGACATTGGGATTTTGATTGAAACTGCACTAAATCTGTATAGTGCTTTTGGTAGTATAGCCACTTTAACAATATTAATTCTGCCTATCTAAATAGGCGATCTTTCTATCTTCCAAGGTCTTCTTCAATTTCTTTCTTTAGTGTTCTGTAGTTTATTCTTTCGATTCTTTCATTAGATTGATTCCCAAAATTTTGAGGCTATTGCAAATGGAGTATTTTTCCTAATTTCTCCTTCAGAGGATTCATCATTAATGTGCAGAAATGAATTTGATTTTTGGGTATTGATTTCATATCCTGCTACTTTTCTGAATTCACTTATTAGTCTAGAAGTTTTCTGGTGGAATTTTCTGGATCTCCTAAATATAGAAAAATCTTATCAGCAAATAATGAAAGTTTAAGTTCTTATTTTCCTATTCAAATTCCTCTAATTTCTTTCTCTAATTGCTCTAGCTAGAGTTTCAAGGACTATGTTAAATAGAAATGGTAAAAGAGGGCATCCTGTCTTGTTCCAATGTTTAGAGGGAATGCTTTCAATTCTCCATTTCTTTTTTTTTAATTTATTTATTTATAAGGAGGCTGAAAGTTTTTTTTTTTTAAGAGAGAGAGAGAGAGAGAATTTTTTAATATTTTTTTTTAGTTCTCGGCGGACACAACATCTTTGTTTGTATGTGGTGCTGAGGATTGAACCCGGGCTGCACGCATGCCAGGCCAGCGCCCTACCGCTTGAGCCACATCCCCATTTCTAATGATGTTAGCCTTGGGCTTAGCATAGATAGCTTTTACAATGTTGAGCTATGTTCCTGCTATCCCTACTTTTTCTAGTGTTTTGAATATTAAGGTGTGCTGTAATATATTAAATGCTTTTTCTACATTTATTGAGATGATCATATAATTCTTATTTTTAAGTCTATTGATGTGATGTTTGTTTACTGATTTTCATATTTGAACCTGTTGGGGCCACGAGTTGGAAAGCAGCCTACATTGCCTATGTGAGGGGCTCTCAGGGTTCACCACACTGAATCCAGATGTTGTGGTTAGCATACTAACCATGCTCAGCCCTATCACCGTGGTAACCTGGCTTCCCTCAGGTGCACAGCATGTTCCTTCCCTTCTGCTTTTCTGCCACTGACCTGTTAGCCCATTGGTTGCTGCTTATAAATGTGTTTCTAGCTCATTGGATTATGATAACCCTCAGCTAATTTGCCCAGTAATAGGCTATGCATAAAAGACTTGCCTATGCAATAATAAAGTGGATCAAGTTCTCTAAAACTGGTCTCTGAAGGTCTCTTTTTGACTGTTGCCAACACCCTCCTCAGCTGTTTGGTGGGTTTCAGCTGGACTGAGTGAGCCCACATGAGCCAACTTTGCATCTCTGGGATGAACCCTACTTGATCATGGTGCACTATGTTTCTAATGTGTTTTTGTATGTGATTTTCCAGAATTTTATTGAGAAATTTTGCATCTATGTTCATCAGGGATATCGGTCTGAAGTTTTCTTTCCTTGATATGTCTTTGGTTTTGGTGTCAGGTTGATACTAGCCTCATAAAGTGCACTCAGCTCTGATATTCACGTCCACCGAGAGCTGGCGAGAACGGTTTTGAGTTATCACAGCTGGGTAGAGGGGGTGCTGGGAATCACACACCTGTTCAGATACTCATCGCACTGTCAGCTACACCCGCCAAAAGTTGATGAGTAGATTTTCCAAGATGGCGACCGCCATTTCCTCAATGGGGTGTCCGATCAGGTGGAGGGAGCTAGGCTGTTACTACACTATGTCCAGAATTCGGTCCTTGGTCTGGTGCCCTGCAGGGACCCAGGTCAGAGTCTGGCGCGCCCCAGCCTGAAAGTATCTATAACCCTGCGTCTGGGCGCTGCCAGATCTTCCTCCGCCCGTCTGCCTCTATTGAATTTTTTAATTTCGTTTTTTGTTTCCTTAATTTCAAGGACTTCTCTTTGTTGTTTGTTTGTTTCAGAATCTCTATCTCTTTATTAAAATGATCTTTTGCTACCTGTATTTGTTCTCTTAAGCCATATTTTTCTTTACAGATCAGTTTAACTATGTATATTCTGAAATCCTTCTTTGACATCTCTATTCTGTTGTCAATAGATTTTATATTGTGACATCATGGTTTGTTTAATTCTGTGCATGTACAAGAATGTAACAACAAATACCACTATTATGTATAATTACAATGCACCAATATACATATACATAAACATTTTTAAAATAAATTTAAATTTAAAAATAAAAATAATTTTTAAAAGATGGTTGAAAACTAAAGGAAAAAGAGACTATTAGGTTTTTCAAACACAAATATTATAAATTTGTTTTTATTTATGCTTTCTTATTGCTTTCTACAACACATCTATTTTATTTTTGTTAAATGATACAAAAAACATAATTATTAATGGAGTACATATTTTTTTTAATTTTTTTTTGTAGTTGTAGATGGATACAATAGCTTTATTCATTTATTTATTTATTGTAGTGTTGAGAATCGAACCTAGGGCCTCACACATGCCAGGCAGGTACTCTAACACTCAGCCATAACCCCAGCCCTGTAGTACATAAATATTAATGGAAATGAAAATATTTGGTATCTGTATACATTGTGTAATATTTAAATCAGGTTAAACATATTTACCTCATGAGAATTTTTAGAAGGACAGCTGTGCATGGTTGAGAACAAAGTCCTCAGATATACATTTTAAAAATTAAATCAACCTAAAGAATCAATCTAAAAAATAAAATTAAATGAATAGCAGTTTCTGTAGTGTAACTTCAGCACTTTTAATATAAAAATCCTAACCTGGGATAGTGGCACAAGACTGTTAATCCCAGTAACGCAGGAGGCTGAGAGAGGAGGATTGCAAATTTGAGGCCAGACTCAGCAATTTAGCAAGACCCTGTCTCAAAACTAAAATAAAAATGGCTGGGAATGTAGCAAAATGGTGGAGCACCCCTGGATTAAAACCCATTACAGAAAAAGAAAGATAACAATGCTCTTTTAAGAAGGACAGATATTTTCTTATATTGTTATCATTATCCCCTGAATGATTTAGTAAGATATTTGGAGTATAGGGAACAGGGTTTTTAGAGTTCTGAATATAACCAAAAACCCGGGCATGTATATATGTAAAGCCTTGCTCATGGTTAGGGATATTCTTGTTATTATTATTATTATTTTTTGGTAACGCTGTTGAGAAATCTCAGGAAATTCAGTGTGTTCTGGCCTATGTATTAGTTAGTACAACTAACTGCAACTAAGAAAAGTTCTCTTCATTTGAGCTACATCCTTAGGCTCCAGTTACTGTCTTATTTTCACATCCCACAGATATTTGGGAACTCATTTTACATTTGTAAAAAACCTGTTTTTTTAGGAGAAAAAAATGAATAGATTTCTGCTCTCCAAAACTTGCAATCAAAATTACAGAATATAAGCAGAATGTTAATTTGGGCAGAGGGGTATATTTGACAAGCAAAGTACTTGGGATTATGGAATGAATAAATCATATCTCTTGGAAAAGACAATTTAGTCCTGGAGAACCTCAAATGTAGCTATGGTTAGATGAGTAATTAAGGAAACACAGCCCCCATAATTTATTCCCCTGGACCTACTCTTGAATGAAAATAATGTAAAGGCAGGGAAAAAGAGGATGCCTTTTTCATTCTATTTCTGAGGAAACTGCCCCAGGAAATCTTTGATTTGCAGGTTTGTGTTTTGTTTATCAATGTTGGGTACTGAACCTGGGGTACATGTGAGAAAAGCACCATACCACTGAGTCACACCCAAAACTGGTAGGCAGTTTTGATAAATCAATGTGAATCTCATGATCCTCAATGAGCAGAAAAAAAATTATTATTTACATTTTTAAGTCTACATACTATTCCATCCCATGGATCTATCAATTTTCTATATATAGTTTCTGTCTTAGTCCATTTTTTTGTTGCTCTAATAAAATGCCTAACGATGGATATTTTTTATTTACTTATTTATTACAGTATCAGGAATTGAACCCAGGGGTGCTTGACTACTGAGTCACATCCCAAGACTTTATTTTTTAAGACAGAGTCTAAGTTGCTTAGGGCCTCACTAAGTTGCTGAAGCTGGCTTTAAGCTTGCAATCCTCCTGCCTCAGATTCCTGAGCAGCTGGGATCATAGGCATGTGCTACCATGCCCAGGAATACTTTATTTTCTTAAGGGGTTTATGTTATTCACCATTCTGGATTTTAAGATTATGGCACCTGGTGAGGATCTCACCCTGCTTGGCTCTGGTGAGGGTCTCATCATGTATGGAAACAGAGGAGTACATGCAAAAGAAGCAAGCTGTCCTGTAAGAAGGATGCAGGGGAATTACAAGACTCATACCACGAGGGAACTGATCCACTTTCATGAGACCTGGCCCTGGCCTTCAAGAGAGCATTAATCCATTCATGAAGGTGGAACCCCTATAATGTGATTAGCTTCCAGTAAGCCCCACCTCTAAATGTTTCACCACTTCAACACTAATACACTAGGGACTAAACTTCTATCACATGAATCTTTGGGGTACAAAGCATATGCAAACCATATCGATCCTGAGATAGGGATGTAGGACTCAGAGAAATACTGAATCTTAAAGGAAATGCCCACTAGAGATACAGAAAGCACAGTTGTAAGTCTTGAGCAACATGCCCTGTAAAATTAGAGAAATACACAAGCATAGGGAAAACTGGCTCCACCTTCAGTCTGTTCCCTGTTATAGCCCTTCTATAAATATTGAATCCCCAGCCCAAGGCATGGCTTCTCACTCTCAAGATAGCACTCATTCTCCATTGCATGTGTGTCTAGCTTCCCAAATAAATATGTTGCCACATTTTCCTGGCTTGTGCTGAAATTATTTTCCATTAGGTATGCCAAAAAACCCAGTGATTCTGAGTTGAGTTGCCCCTCTCCTCTGGGAACTCCTAGGACCCTTCTCCTGAGACATGTCTTCTCCCATGACAGCCCTTGGGGGTTCCCAAGATAGTTCCCAAGGTTCTATCTTTTCTCTTTGCATTGTAAATGAAAACATTCTAGTATCTGTTATGAGATTAGAATTTTGGAAGTGTTTCCAAGGGTAAATTCCTAGCAGTGGAAATGTTTATCCAAATGATAAAGATTACCAAATTATTCTCAAAGAAGTGTACACTGATTTACACTCACTCAACTGTAACAGGGGTCCACTTCATGCTTTGAACATAATCCTGACTGCTCTGCCCCTGCAGCTTATTTTAAAATGGACATTTTTTCCTTTCTCTTCTCCCTCTCCCTAATCATGAGGCAAGCAAGATTAACTTCTTCCCATCCTAAGCCAGCTACCTTTCCTTGAGCACACAGCCATGGGAATGAAGTAATTCAGACTTCAGGACTTATGCCAGAAGACTTAAGAAACAACTCTCTCTCAAGGCTACGAGTGCATTATGACCCAACAGGGCACTGCAGGAACATAGCCTTTGAATCACCTCTTTAAAAGTCCCCTGTTCCCCCGATAGTTAGAATCACAACTTCTATTTCTCCTTTACTAACAAAGTAATAAAAGTTCTTTTTCCTTTTTCTCAGAATCATGTCCTAATTATCAGATTGGCATTGGAGATAAGAACTGAGCTTTTAGTAACACAATCAGTATATAAAAGTGCCTATTTTCTTACATGGTTACCAGATCTGGTTGTCAAACATATTGTTGTTTATACCATCTATGAAAAAAATGTGTTATGGTTTGTATATGAGGTGTCCCCCAAAGGCTCATGTGTAAAACAATGCAGAAAGTTTATAGGTAAAATTATTGGGTTATCAAATGTTTTAATCCATTGATAGGGATTAAATGAATGGCAACTCTAGGCAAGCAGGGTGTGGCTGGAGGTGGGAACCTGGGGTCATGCCTTTAGGGTATAATATTTTGTCCTTGTGAACAAAGTTCCCTCTCTCTGCTTCCTGGTGTCATATCCCCAGCTGCTTCTCTCAAATCATACTATTCTGCCATAATGGTCTGCCTCAATTCAGGTTTCAAAGATTGAAGGCAGCCATCTGTGGACTGAGACCTCTGAAACAGTGAGCCCTCAAATAAACTTTTTCTCTTCTAATAGTTCTTGTCAGGTCTTTTGTTCATGGCAGCAAAGATGACTAAAACAGAAAGTGGTATCAAGAGTGGGGTTGCGGGCTGGGGATGTGGCTCAAGCGGTAGCGCGCTCGCCTGGCATGCGTGCGGCCTGGGTTCGATCCTCAGCACCACGTACAAACAAAGATGCTGTGTCCGCCGAAAAACTAAAAAAAAATAAATAAATATTTTAAAAATTCTCTCTCTCAAATGCAAATCAAAACCACCCTAAGATACCATCTCACTCCAGCTAGATTGGCAGCCATTATGAAGTCAAACAACAACAAGTGCTGGCGAGGATGTGGGGAAAAGGGTACGCTTGTACATTGCTGGTGGGACTGCAAATTGGTGCAGCCAATTTGGAAAGCAGTACGGAGATTTCTTGGAAAGCTGGGAATGGAGCCACCATTTGACCCAGCTATTCCCCTTCTCGGTCTATTCCCTAAAGACCTAAAAAGAGCATGCTACAGGGACACTGCTACATCGATGTTCATAGCAGCACAATTCACAATAGCTAGACTGTGGAACCAACCTAGATGCCCTTCAATGGATGAATGGATAAAAAAAATGTGGCATTTATACACAATGGAGTATTACTCTGCATTAAAAAATGACAAAATCATAGAATTTGCAGGGAAATGGATGGCATTAGAGCAGATTATGCTAAGTGAAGCTAGCCAATCCCTAAAAAACAAATGCCAAATGTCTTCTTTGATATAAGGAGAGTAACTAAGAACAGAGTAGGGTCGAAGAGCATGAGAAAAAGATTAACATTAAACAGGGATGAGAGGTGGGAGGGAAAGGGAGAGAGAAGGGAAAATGCATGGAAATGGAAGGAGACCCTCAGAGTTATACAAAAGTACATACAAGAGGAAGTGAGGGGAAGGGGAAAAATAATATAAGGGGGACAAACGAATGTCAGTAGAGGGGGCAGAGAGAGAAGAGGGGAGGGGAGGGGAGGGGGGATAGTAGAGGATAGGAAAGGCAGCAGAATACAACAGACACTAGTATGGCAATATGTAAATCAATGGATGTGTAACTGATGTGATTCTGCAATCTGTATATGGGGTAAAAATGGGAGCTCATAACCCACTTGAATCAAATTGTGAAATATGATATATCAAGAACTATGTAATGTTTTGAACAGCCAACAATAAAAAATTTAAAAAAAAATTCTCTCTCTCTCTCTTTCTCTCTCCCTCTCCTCTTAAAAAAAAAAAAAAAAAAAAGAGTGGGGTTGCATCATTTATCCCTCTTGGACTGAGCAGCTACCGGTTCCTCCAGCTCTCCAGCCTGCAGATGGCCACTGTGGGACTATTCAGCTTCTGATAATGTATGCCAATCTAATAAATCCTCTTTATGTCACATATATATGTATATATACATATGTATGTATAATATATATATATATATATATATAATATATATATATATATATATATATATATATATATATATTTGTTGGTTTTGTTCCTGTAGAGAATCCTAATACAAATAAATGATACCTTATTACAGTTTATATTTGCATTTCTTAAAATATGAGACTTACCAACTTTAAAATATTAGTTGGCTGAATTTATTTTTCTATACTCTCACCAAGCTGACTCTCAAGAATTTAGTGAATATATAATCTATATCACTGTATGTAAAGTCTCAAAAGTGAATAATAAACTCAAAGGTGTTACAGGGCTGGGGCCTTCAGTGAAACTGAGGCAACACAAAGGCCCAACCTTCACCACAATTCTTGTGAGCAGGTCAGAAAGATTTCAGACATTTTGCTCAAAGTAACAGTTATTTATTAGAAAAGATGGGAAAGAGAAAAGGGGAATACTCTCAAGGAAGAGAGTGGGCACTCAGAGATGAGAGGAAGAACATACTGCCCCTCATGCCCTTCAGTTTTATTGGAAGTTCAATGGAACTTTCCAGAGTCCCACCTAAGTCCACCTTCCGACAGCAGAAGAACTGCATGGAATGCCTCAAAAAGAGAATGGTATAGTTCTCAGAGTTGTTTATGAGAAAATTGAGTGCACCTGTTTTTTTGTCTCAATTCCCATCCCCTTAAAGGGTTTATTATCAAGTTTCCCTGCTTTTACCTCAATTTCCTGTCCCCCTTCATCAATTTATTACTCTCTGAATAGCCACCATCAAGCTTTCTTTATGAGGGTCTTGATGTTTTGACTATCAGGGTGATGGGAGTTGTGCCATAATTTCAGTGATGAGGGTAGGTCCCAGACAAGTGATAATGACAACATGATCCACAAACTGGTAGTTTAAAAGGCTGGGGAAGGTTTTAACATACCAAACTCCCATCTTCTAATAGTTCAGATAATATTTTGTCTGTCAGATAAGGCTCCTGTGGTTTTCAGTTACCTTTTAATGGTTTTTTGTTTGTTTGTTTGTTTGTTTACCCTGCTCACCCATTCATGGCTGAGTAGCCACCTAACAAAGGGAATGAATGTAGTTAGGCAGTCCTGGGATGCTCCAATATTGGGAAGTCAGGGAGATGGGGAGGAACTACCAAAGATTACTAAGAGTAATCAGTGAGCAGGGAAGAAACTGGCTATCACACTGCACAATGAACATCACTGGTGGCTTGACAAAAGTTATTTTATTTTAGAGGAGCAGTGTGAGTGAAAAGCTAGCTGGATTTAGTAGATGGAAAAATGGTGAAGATGCAAAGCAGAGAAGGAGAGAATTGCTGAAAAGATGTCCCTAAGGGAATGTAGAGATCTAGTGAACATGGAGAGTTGGCCACAGAGGGAAGTAGAGATAGTTAATTTAAAGTTAACAGCAGTGTGGCTGGACATGGCTGTCAGTAGCTGAGTAGATATGGGAGCCCAAGATTCTCTTCTTGTTGCTTCTATTTCATTCTTATCAAACTGCAAATGCCTCACTCTGAGAGGACTTTAAGCCAGAGACAAACCTCTCTTGGGGTCATGGAACCGTACTGAAGGTGGATGGGAAGGGTTAGAAGAGACTTTCTCTAAGGTAGGAAAGGACAGGCTCAACACTGACCATCAGCATTAGCACAACAATGGTACCATTCTGCAGAGTACAAAGTGTGGTACAAGATAGCATTACAGTTTCTATTTTAATTTTGTTTCCAGGTCTAGTGTCATAATTACAAATCTTTTAGTTAGACTTGCTTCCTATACAGACCTCCTCTAATTACTGTTGTTAATCTGACAAAATGATGTTTAAGTAATGAACTTAGTAACATGAGGTCCATTCAAAATGAGAAGTCTGTCCATTTCACTACCTTAAAATACTACAGGAAATCTCATTATTCCACAAATATTAACTACAATATCCCAAAGCCTCCAGATGTATATATTTTTTTCATTGTTGATAGACCTTTATTTGTTTTTACGTGGTGCTGAGAATAGAACCCAGTGCCTCACACATGCCAGACAAGTGAGCTGAGCCCCAGCCCCAGCCCAGATGTGTATATTTAAAAAAAAAAATTCTTTTTAGTTGTAGATGGGCACAATATCTTTATTTATTTTTATGTGGTGCTGAGGATTGAATTCAGTGCCTCACATGTGTGAGGCAGGCACTTTACCACTGATCTACAGCCCCAGCCCCCAGATGTGTGTATTTAGAAAGAATTCTGGCCATTATCTCCCTTCAAGCAGAAAATTGGACTCGTCATGCAATACTATTAGCTGACTTGTCAAAAAAATAAACCTGTCAAATAAGCACCTGTGAAGAGGATTGATTATACAGACTGTTAAAACTTGCCTAAGCTTAGAGTTGTAAATAAATCAATAAATTCTATATATACATAAGAAAATAAAACAGTCCCAATCCTATAAGTTTCATGTGTCCATAGCAATTTTTTCCTAAATTTTCTAACATTTGAGGCAACTACCAAAAGTAACTCCAAATAATGCATTCATAATTGTGCTAACTGCTAATCTAAATGAACACAATTGGTAGGCTATCTCTGCACATCAACAAGGTAACCTAATAGAGGAGTTGTGCTTTGGAAGAACAGAAGTTCTCCTCAGCAACAATAAAATCTCAATTGTGGTTTTCACAAATACAGAAACTGATTACAGTCTGCTGCTGCAGAAAGAATATCTATTAACATGGAGATAACCCAATTAATATATTCTGACCCTTTATAAACATTAATTCTCACACCAGGGGTTCCTGTTTCTGTTTTCCTTGCCTGTAAAGGAACTACCTATGGAAGACTACCTTTGAAGAGGTGCACAAAAGAACGACACAGATACACAGGATAAGTGGGCAGACAGAGGTGGAGTGAAGTCATGAAGAAGGATAGAAGTGAAGTGTCTGCCCCTCCCTCCTGCCAAGTTTATTAACTCAAAAAAAGTTACATATTACCCATCACACCTGACTACACTCTAATCAGTTCCTTTAACCCTGCGTGCTAGCTAACTGAGATAAGGTCCAGGTTAATACAAACACAGACCCTCTTACACCCAAGGATGTTACTATGGAAACCAGGTAGTACACCCTACGTAGTTATCTTAAGAGCCTCAGGGGGAAACTGCTAGGCATTCCAATGGTGGGAATCAGGGGTGCCAGTTACCCCCCCCCCCCGGGAGTTTGCTCACAGGGGGAACACTTCTCTATTTCCACAGTCAGAATATCTACACTTGCCTTACTCCCAAAGTTTCTCACCCTTGAGACAGCTCACATTCTTCTTTGAATGTGCTTTTGCTTTCAATATACCTCTTTTTGTTTTTAACTGGCACACTGTGAGAATGGCCTTAGGCCTGAGCCTAAGCAACTCCATTTTAAAAACTCCAGTTTGAAACCTGCAGTCTCACCAGGTACATCCAACAGATCCCTCCAGTATGGCCTCAAACAAGTTATTTCCCCTCACCTAGATAAATAGAGTGAAGCCTCTGGCAGGCTGTCCTCACCAAATAAAAGGGAAAAGCGAGAAGATCAGGGTGGAGACCACGAGATCAGATGTTTCTGATCCCAGGGTAAATGATGTCATGGAGAAATCCGGTGGTAGTTAAGGATTGAAATGGGGGTTGAAAGCCTCAAAATTTAATATAAATAATAGAGCTAATGAACAGGGATCAGCCAGCCAAAATAAGGATGCACTCGAGCTGGAGAGCCTGATGAGGACCTGGACTGATATCCCATCACTTGTCAACGTTTCCTAATTCTTTGCATGATTCTCACTGCTCTCAAACTCTACCGTCTGTCTGGACCTTGATGAGAGCTACAACTTCTCCCTACGACCCTCTCCTCAACCGGTTGTCCACTCCATGCCAGGAAAAGCCTGCCTTTGTTCCAGACCTGATCACCATGGTCTGAGTGAGTGTGCATCTGCTGGACTTAAAGCCTTAAGACTTTTGATCTGACATTTGAACTTAGCATGCAGAGGAAATGTCTGTCACTAGCCTGTCATGATTAACTGTGTTTTGCAATGCTTAGAATTAATCTAGAATTGTTTGCTGTAAATTGATTATGTCTATTGCAGTGCCTAGCATTAAGGATTGTTGTTTTCTTGATTAAGAATCTATAGTGAAATTGTATTGAGTGATTTGAGGGAATAAAGCATTGAAAGGGGCAGAAGCACATGGACATTCTTTATATCTCCCCTCGACTACATGCGTCGCAATTTTGCCCCCTCATACACACGTTTAAATTATTTTCTATTATATGTACCAAGAACCCCAGTGGTCCAGAGTCAATTTCCTCCTTCTCTCTGGGAACTCCTCAGATCCTTCTTCAGAGACATTTCTTCTCCATCTCAATGGCAACATTTTTCTGCAAAAGACTAAACAATAAATATTTTAGGCCTTGCAACCATATGATGATACTTATGACTACTCAACTCTACTGTTGTACAGTAAAATCAGTAAAAGACAATATAAAAATAAATGTGTTGCATTCCAATTATTAAAAATCTGAGATGAGTTAAACTTATTTCAGCATGAAAAAAGTTCTAGGACCAAGCAACATTCCAGATGAAAGCTGGTTCCAAATAGAATACCCCACTGCACATGTATAAGCTATATTTATAGTTTAAAGTGAAAAGAAAATGACAGAGGAAAAAAAAAAACTTGATTGGCCAGAGGTCCCACTGCTAATCAACTGAGACTCAACTGCCTAATAACAAAATTTGTTTATATATCAAGATACTGTTCACTATATATATAGAAGCCACTCTGGGGAGAACTTTATCATTCCAGCATGGAGACTGATTTGGGCCAAACTCAATTGAACACACACAAATTATGAACAATAAAACTTAAATACCATGTAATTTTCACCTATCAGGAAATACTCATTTTTTGATTTCTTTTCCCAATCATTTGACAGTGTAAAAACACTCCTAGCTCACAAAATCAGTGGGTCAGGCCTCATTTACCTAGTTGCCCTGATCTACCTGATAACTTCTAGTCACTGATGATAACAGCATTATCCAAACTTCAGAAAAGTTACCCAAGAAAGACAAAATGTTAGAAACTGGTTTCAAGATCTTGTTCTACTTCCAGAAGACAAATCTTGATTTCGCCTTTCTGGGATTTTAACAGACTGTCTGGGTCCCTTAACCTCTTGTTATACCAGAAAACCATCCAATTGAAAGGTATGGAGAAACCTAAGATGCAAGATCTCAGGAAAAGCAATCAAGATGGGCAAAACTTCAGGCAGACACTACAGTGCCCCCTAGATCTTCAGGCACAGTTGTCAACCAAAGGCTCAAAAATATGCTGGTGCGGGCTTCAGCTACAATGAGGCTACCATTCTGAGTGAGGTTAGACATCAAGGTGCAATGTGGCCGGGATCCGATCTAGTAGAAAGCAGCGCCTACAACCAGCTGTTCGGTGAGATTTGAAAACAAGGGCCGTCACAGCTTTGCACTCCTCTTGAGCTCCTGCTGCTGACAATTACCCGTTCTGTAACCACGAAGCGAGGACACTAAGACTGACCCTTACACCCAGACTTAGGGTCATCAAGGACCGCCAATATTTTGGAGCTGCCTGAGGCTCCCAGCACAGAAGCATGCCGCCCAACAGAGAAGCCAGCTTCTCAGTCTCCCTCCCGGGGGCTGGACAGCGCAGAAAACCTTTCCGTGGCAGTTAAGACGTCCTCCTGGCGCAGGGGGCACAAAAGCGAGAAAACAGACAAGCGAAAATAAACCAAAATGACGAAAACCGCGCTTCTCGTCACAGTGACGTGGAAGTCTTAAGGCCCAAGCTATAAACCCTAAATTCGAAATCTCGCGGGATCTTGCCATTCTCTGACGCTCAGAAATTGCGACATCTCACAGAAGTTTCAGAGGCTACTACAGGGGATTGCTGTGGCTCAGCGCAGCGCGGGAGGGTCAGGTGACCTAAAGGCTCCGCCCATGTCTTTCCTCACCGGTCAGTCTCACGCCTGCGCGGGCAAAGGAGACTTGGCGCGTAGCTTGGGCTGCCGGCGCTATGGGGCTGACCCGCGTGCGGGCTATTTTCTTTGACCTGGACAACACACTCATCGACACGGCCGGGGCGAGCAAGAGAGGCATGTTGGAGGTAACGTCCCGGCTCCCTTGGCTCTTCTCCAGACTCAGCACGCCCCAACCCCGTACTGCGCGGGTCCCCCAGTGCCCACTTCCCAGACCCAGGAAGCACTGGCCGCACTCGTCCTTGGAGACTTCAGTAGCTCTCTGGGGGCTGGAAAGACCTGGGAAAGGGCGAGCGGGCTGGGGGTCTCGGCTGGGAGGGGACTGCCTTCCCCGACCCCAGTCCATAGGCTCAGGGAACTGGCTTCTTGCAGACGGTTCCTGCTCAGGGGACCCGGAAGCATGTCCTTAAAACTGCCACGATAGTGGAACCGCCCACAAACGCAGGTAGATGGTCACCGTGCCATTGTACATCCGTGCTGAGCCAGGTAGAGTTTGGACAGTTCAGACTATGCGCGCATGCATCTGAGCTTAGTGGCGGGTCTTGTGGGAGGGACATTTCCCCCAACTTCGTCTTCAGTGGACTTAGAAGAGAATCATTGAAGGCAGCCCCAATTTTTGACCCAAGAAGTTACGTAAGTATCAGAGGTGAACCCCGATTTGAAGCTGCATCTGAGAATTTTTTCTGCAGAACTCGCTTCTGGCTTTCCTGATCTGCTCAGATTTCCAAGGAGACACTGCAAAAATCCGTGCTGCCCCGGTGAGGTATTGCTCAGCAGCATCCTCTCCGTGTACCTACAAATGCTGTTGCAGACCTTCCCGGCGTTTTCCAGCCCCTAATCCACCCTTGCTTTCCTTCCTCTACCTTCAGCTTCAAGGAGAAATCGAAGGATTATCAGATGTGAAAAAACCCACTTTCAAAAGCCAGTCCTTTCAACTCTGAATGTCCCGTCCTTCATACTTCATCAGGTAGATTCCATCTCCCTGGATCTTCAGCTTCTTCATCCTTTTTTTACCCCCTTGTTCATTCCACTCGTGCTGCATGTTCGTAGTCTTTTTTTGTGTGTTTTTTTAAAAAATGAAAAAGAACACCTCCCTTGGACTCTTTCTATAGTATATATTGCCTATCTCTCTCAGCCATGGTTTTAGAGAAATCTATGCCCCTGATTTCCTTGTCTCTATCTCCTATGTATTCCAAAAATCCATTGCAAGGTAGCTTCTGTCTCTAGCTCTAGAATGAAATAGATGTGCCAGGTAATTGGGCCTATCCCCACAGTGCCTGGATATTTTGAATGTATTTTTTATTTGTTTGTTTGTTGAATGGTGCTAGGGATCTACTCCATGGCCTTGGCACATGCTACACAAATGTTCTACCACTATACTACATCCCTAGCCCTTTGAATCTATCTTAATGCCTTTATTGAGGCCTTCCATACTGTTTATTGTTCCTTTCATCTTCATGCCTTTGACCTTGACCTCAAGGACACATCTCTGTGCTATATTTCCTCCAGTAATCCTAAGTGCCAACAGTACATATTTTTTTTAAAGAGAGAGAGAGAGAAGAGAATTTTTTAATATTTATTTTTCAGTTTTCAGTGAACACAACATCTTTATTTTATTTTATGTGGTGCTGAGGATGGAACCCAGCGCCCCGCGCATGCCAGGCGAGCACATTACCGCTTGAGCCACATCCCCAGCCCAACAGTACATATTTTTCTATGTGTTCTTAACAAGCTAAGACCAGTATGTTGCAATTAAATTCTTGTTTTAGGCCAGTTTTTGCTAATAGGACAAGAGTTCAAGCTTTGAAATCAAATATTTGAGTTAATAACTGTCAGGTAAGTTTAATACAATGCATGGGAAGTACAGAGCATCCAGTGTTTTACTCAGTGAATTGTACCACCATGTACCCTAACTTCTACCCCAATGCATATCCCCCTTGCCATTATTTTAGTTACAGCTAGACTCATCTCTCATCTAGACTGTTGATGTGATCTTGTATCCAGGCTGGCCACATCTAGTTGATCCTCCGTGTTCCTGTCACAGAGATTTCTAAAGCAAAAATTAGAAGTAGAACCAGATGCAGTGGAACATGCATGTGGTCCTAGCTACTCAGGTGACTGAGGCAGGAGGATCACTTAGTCCAGGAGTTTGAGACCAGCCTGGGCAACATAGTAAGACTCTGTCACATACACACACAAAAAAATTAGACTATATTTCTTCCTACTCTGTCACTTTCACTTGTATATCAGTACCATATTTTGTTTTTCAGATATCTCTTACTGCAGCTATTAATAGATGTTAATTTTTGCAGCTTAGGTTGCCTACAGCTAAATAGTGAACTTTGTTTGATTCATGGTAAATGTTGAATGAATATTGGATTGATGGACAAAAATTTTGATCTAGTCTTAGTTCTGTTACCACTCCCTTTATAAATAACTTATTAACTAAGCAGAGTTGAATGGTGTGAAAACTTTATCATGCAAGGATACATCACTACTCATAAGTGTTGATCTATTCTTAAGTAACCCATGTCAGATTTCATAAATCATCACAAATGATTTATGAATCAAAAAACAGGGAAATGTCTGGTCTTTATCTTGGGCTTAGGGAGAAGAAGTAATATACTGACTATATATGTCAGTTTAAATATTTTAATCATCTGAGAAAGGTATATTTTTTTAACATCTTCAGACCTGTTTTTCAGTGTCAATACCCAAGAAGAAGGCTTATACAGAAATGTAGTTTCTCACTTAAACAAAGCAGAAAAATTTTTGTATTTGTGAATTTACTTTTAAGTGATATGACAGAAGATATAATAAATATATTTATAGAAGCATTAGAAAAAGTGGAGGAGGAAATGAATTGCAATTTCAAATAGTTCGGTCAGATTTGGCCTCATTGGATAGATATTGTGTGAGCAAAGACTTATAAACTAGAAATAACAGAAGGTCTATTTGAAATGCAAGACTGTGTGCAGATAGTCATACTTTGTTGGTGTGTATTTTGTGGGGGAAGGGAGAACATACTAGGGATTGAATTCAGCGGGCACTAGATCACTGAGCCATCTCCCCAGCCCTTTTTTGTATGTTACTTACAGACATGGTCTCACTTCAATGCTTAGCACCTTGCTAAATTGATGAGGCTGGCTTTGAACAAGCAGTCCTCCTGCTCAGTCTCCCCAGCCACTGGGATTACAGGCATGTGCCACCACTCCTGGTTTATTTTTAAATTCAGCCCCTTTGCATCCAAATAATTGGTATTAAGAAAATACTTTTGCCCAATCATATGATATCAAGTGTTACGTGGTTCCCAAACCAGCCCCTCACATAAAATAACAGTTAGCTAAACTCTAGTTTTCGTGATAATAATATTAGTGCTAGATCCAGAGAGCAGGAAGTAGAATAGATTTCCTTTTTATACATATTCTGAAAGACAGCCTTAGAGATTTGAAGTGGATGAGTTTATTTTAATCTATAAACTAATAACCCCCAACTATCATAATAGGTACCTGATGGGCTCATTGTATTTGAATCCTTTATAAATCTGCTTTCCCCATGTATAAAATGTCCTCATCCCTTCAAGTTAAAAATCTTTTCCTCCACCTCCAATTTAATCAAAATTCATAGTCTCAACACAGGTGCTAGGAGAGTTTGTAATGTATACTGATTAAACTTAAGTGTTAGTTCTATTTGAACTAATATGTAAATGATAAACTGTTCCCTAATGATATTAACATTATTAAAATGCTTCCTCTTGTCCCCAACAAATCTGTGGTTGCTGTGTGACAGCAATGGTGTGTGACTAATGAGAAACTTAATGCAAAGGATGTAATAGGAGAAATTTTGAAACTCAGGGAGCAATATGCCATGTCTTCACAAATATCTTCCCTTTAAAGTGAGCCAATTCTGTTTTTTCAGAGCCCCAAAGAGTGTGGATTACACATTGCCAATTGTAGTGACAGGTAATTGGATTATTATTGAGAACTCTCTGTTATCTAGCTGTGAACCAGCCATTTGCTCTCTAACACTGTGCAGTCCTAGAAGCCTATGTCCTTTCACTGTGAAGCAAGGGTACCAAAACTAGAAAATGCCCTTTGATCATAGCTTAAGAGTAATTAAGTTATGTTTTCTAGAAAAGATAGTAACATAATCACAGAGGTTGAAAAGGCTTGATTGAAATTTTAACTTGACAGAGCAAAAGTTTTTAAGTATTTTGCCTTCACCTAAAACTCTTATGGCTGGTTGTTTGTTTGTTTGTTTTGGTATTAGGGATGAACCCAAGGGCACTTTACCACTGAGCTCTGTTTACTTTTTAATTTGAGACAGAGTCTCACTAAGTTACTTAGGGCCTTGCTAAGTTGCTAAGGCTGGCCTTGATTCTCCTGTCCCAGCCTCTTGAGTTACTGGGATTACAGGCATGTGCCACCGTACCTGCAACATTTTCTGATAAGCCAAATAGTCTGAATTTTTTTCTTTGTCATAAGGGACTCTCATATGCTTGAGGGAAAAACAATGTATGTTTTATCTTTTTTTCCTTTTCAATAGGTGAAGCAGGTTTCTGGTGTGAATAGCATGCCACTTGTTCCTTGTGTAGTTTAGAATAATACATTTTTTACTTTTTAGACTGCTTTGCTTGGATTTTGTTTGGTTGGTTTGGTTTTTTTATTTTTTGCAGTGTTGGGAATCAAACCCAGGGCTTCATGCGTTCTAGGTACATGTTCTACCACTGTGCTACACACCTACCCCATCACAGCAGACACTTTTTAATCCCAGCCAGGTACATTGCATTTATTTCCAAAGATACC